CTGCACTCCAGTCTGGGCGACAGAGTGAGACTCCAACTCAAAAAAAAAAAATTAGCCAAGAGTGGTGGCTCACGCTTGTTGTTCCAGCTACTCAGGAGGCTGAGGCAAGAGGATCACCTGAGTCCAGAAGGTCAAGGCTGCAGTGAGCCATGATCGTGCCACTACACTCCAACCCAGACAGCAAAGTGAGACCCCGACTCAAAAACAAAAAGTGTAAAACATAAAATAGACCGCAAATAATATTAATGAAAAAGAAAGGATTTAAAACTGGGTTTGATACCAGAAAAAATATTATTGCAAATTTTGGAGGACTCCCGGGGGCCCAATAAACAGCACCTCCCCCTCCCTTCCTCAACTGAGCACCAAACATTGTCTTAGGGACATTGTACATCAGGGAGAACCTCGGAAACCAAAGTTGTTAACTTAAGCAAGGAAAACCACGACCCTGCTTTGGATTCAGGATTGCTTAGTCAGCTCTGCCTAAATATGGAGCTGAGAGCTCACGTAAGACCCACAGTCTATTCACTACCCATTTCCAGGGTATATATCATCCCGCAGAGCAGACACTGGCTGTACCTTGCCACTGAGACTACAGCAGAGCTCATCAATTCACATGCCTACAAGGGTAAGGCAGATAAACAAAGCAGCAGTCAGATGCACACTGTGAGCCCTGGACATAGTGGCTCACATCTATAACCCCAACGCTTTGGGAGGCTGAGACAGGAGAATCATTTGAGGCCAGGAGTTTGAGACTGCAGTGAGCTGTGACCACTACTGCATTCCAGCCTACGGAACGAAGCAAGATCCCATCTCTGTCTCTCTCTCTTTTTTTGAGTCAGGGTCTCACTCTGTCGCCCAGGCTGGAGTGCAGTGGCACGATCACAGCTCACCACAGCCTTGAGCTCCTTGGGTTCAGGTGATCCTTCTATCTCAGCCTCCCAAGTAGCTGGGACTACAGGTACATGCACAAAACCTGGCTATTTTTTTATTTTTGTAGAGATGAGGTCTTACTATGTTACCCTGGCTGATCTCCAACTCTTGGGCTCAAGCAATCCTCCCACCTCGGCCTCCCAAAATGCTAGGATTATAGAAGTTAGCCACTGTGCCCAGCCAAGACCCATCTCTTTTTTAAAAAAAGAAAAGAAAAACAATAACCAAACCAAACCAAACAAAAAACTGTGGTGAGCTAAAAAGTATGTGTGACCTTGTCAAAGGGTAGCATGCAGCCAGGCATGGTGGCTCATACCTGTAATCCCAGCACTTTAGGAGGCTAAAGCAGGAGGACTGTTTGAGTCCAGGAGATTGAAACCAGCCTGGACAATATAGCAAGATCTTGTCTGCATAAAAGAAATAAAAAAAAATTAGCTGGGCATGGTAGTGTGTGCCTGAAGTCCCAGCTACTCGAGAGCCCAAGGTGGGAGGACTGCTTAAACCCAGCAGGTCAAGGCTGCGGTGAGCCGTGAGCATGCCACTGCACTCCAGCCTGGGTGACAGAGGAAGACTCTAACTCAAAAAAAAAAAAAA